GCTTTCTCTCTCCTGGTGGATTCCTAAGAATGCCACCACATGCGCTAGCACAGTTCACCAGGGATCGAACCTCACCACCCAGCAAACACGGTCGTCACGTTTTACCAAGAATGACATTTCCAATACAACAAACAAAGCTGCTGTGTTTGCAAGTGAACACTGATAGCTCCCTCCCCTATAGTGGCGCCGTATACAGACATTAGAATAAAATGGAAAGAATGAACAAAAGGAGGATTTATGTTTTTAAAGTATCAGGACTTAACACCAGATGAGATTGGACGTCAAAAGGGGAGGGATCTGAAAGAATTACCATTTTAGGGTCTGGATCACTGGCTGAATGACGGTGATACCACATGTGAGAGAAGAGAGAAGGATGTGGTTTTCACCTTGGATTTGTTGAGCTTGAGGTGCCTTCTGGATAACTACAAAGGAATATTCAACAGAGAGTTGAACCTGTGGTCTAAAGACTGGGGAGGAGGTCCAGCTGGAGAGAAACAGACTGCCAAGCCACAGAGAGCTGAATTGGTCAAACAGAACTGCCCAGTGGGACAAATCAGGAATAGGATGGAACATCTGCATGAGCTACATTAATGAGAAGAAAATAGAATTCAGGGAAACAGAAAAGAAACCATCAGTGAGGTCATGACAGAAACTAACACAGAAGCATTTCCAGGAGAAATCATGAATAGTAGCTTGAAACACAGTAATCCCCCCTTAATCATGGGAGATAGATTCCAGGTCCCTCAGGGGATGCCTGAAACCATGTATAGTACCAAAACTCTGTATATACTATATTTTCTGCTATACAAACAGACTTATGATAATTTAATTTATAAATTAGGCACAGTAAGATACGAACAATAATAAAAAATAGAACAATTACAACAATTTACTATACTAAAAGCAATGTGAATGTGGTCTCTTCCTCTCTCAAAATATCTTATTGTGCTGCTCTCGCCTGTTCTCTGACTGTGGTTGGTCATGGGTAACTAACACTGCAGACAGTGAAACCACACAGAGGGCTTCCGTGTGGCAGAAGGTTCAAGTAAAGCAGGCAAGAGGATAGTCACTGCATTTGACTACAACTTAGGTTATTGGTGAGCTTTAGAGGAAATGAATTAAGACTAACCAATAAGTGGGTTAAAGTGCAAAGAAGCACTGGGGACATTTGCTAGAAAATATTATTTTGAACAGTCTCCTACACACCCTGCACATACAGATGAGCTGAGAGAAATGTGTGGAGACGTATCTAAGGACCTGTGATTGACTCAGTCCTCCACATGTCCCAGGTTTTATCCATGAGTCAAGCAGGGTCTTCCAAAAGCTGTCTGGGACCACAGTGTTTTACCTACTCCATAAAAACCTTATTAAGAGAGTTGTGCTTTAGCACTAGGTAACCATTTCCACTGCAGAATGCTAAGTGTTTATTTCCAGATTGGTAGTGAAAAACTTCCCACTGTATCATCTATGTGACCAACAAAGTTGGTGTTTCAGACTTTAGCAAGCAATTTAGCATGCTCCCTTCTCAAGTTCCATTCCACTCAGGTAACAAATCTGATTGTCCGTTTGCCATTGCATCAGAAAGACCAGAGACGAATTTGTACTCAGTTTAAATAACTCTAAGGACTTAGAACCCGCATATATCTACATGCTAACATTATGTTGTTTATATACATTTCCTTCAAGCTGAGGTTTAACTATTTCGGCTTTTCCATTTTAATTCATGGACCCCATACATAAAATACAATGTAATAGTGAGGAGTAAATAAATAAATAACTTACCAGAGATGGATTCATTTTTTGTTGCCCTTGGAAATTCACAGAGCACTCTGGAAGTACATCTGGGAAAGAAGTTGAATGGAGTAGATTAAGGAAAGAACTGGTTTGGCTTGGTCCTAGATTCTCTTGCCCAAAACTCTCTACACATCAGCTGAGAAAAGCTAAAACCTCCCTGTGACAAAATAGTCCTTTTAATAAAGGGCAACGAAGACTCCACTGAAGATGTGCCCACAAGTACATTAATTGGTAGAGATTAGACTATTTTGGGGTTAATGAAAACATACATTACCTACTGATTTAGCAACAATATTACATAAAGATATAATTT